CGGCCGGGCCGGCGGCGGGAGACAGGCTTCGGGGGGACATCCGTCGGCGCGGCGAGGAGCCCACACGCGAGAAGCCCGGCCGGGCGGGCGGAGCCTGTCCCTGAGCCCAGCCCACAGGGCGGCAGCGGCTCTGCCCACGCCCGTGCTCAGCCCTGGCAGAGCTCAAAAGGTCCTGAATAAGTGAGGGGTCAACAAATGGCAGATGGGGGCTAGACAGACGCATGGACAGGAGTGGGGACGGAGGACGGACTCACCCCCTGGAGCCAGGACTGGAGGCTGAGGCTCCCAGCCGAGGCCGGGCCGTCCAGGGTGCGCAGCCGGGCGAAGGGGCTTCCCTGAGGAGGGCGGGGCGCCGCCGGGACCTGCACACCAGCCCCAGCAGAGGACCCCGCTGGCCGGGACGGGCTGGGCCTCTCCAGGCAACAGGCCTCCCCAGCGAGAGCCCCTCCCACCAACAGGGCCCCTGAGCGCCAGTTACCTTAAACCCTAATTAAAAACAACCAAGTAACGAGTAATAACAACATCCCCCCATGGCTGCCCACAGGGACCTCAGCACAGGAGGGGTTAGAGTTAGGGTCCCTCTCTGACTCCCCAGCAGCCAGCACTCACCCCCAAAAGAACCCAGGGCTTCCCCCTGCCACGTACACACACGCACCCACCCACACGCACGCACAGGTTCGTGAGTCCCGTGTGCTGCACGCAGGAGGGAGCAGCTCCCCCAGGACTCCGGGCCAGCATGTGAACCCCCACAGGACACAGATCACCCTCCCCGCCGGGGGCTCCCCTCCCAGTCCAGCCCCACCTCTGGGTCGAGGTGCAGAGACAGGGAGCCTGGAGGCCGCCAGGGCCAACTCCCCCCCCCTCCCGTGAAGACGCAGAGAACTCAGGGGCTGCGCCCCCCAGACCAGAGACACAGAACGAGGCAGGAAAGCGAAGGGACGGAAAGAACAAGAGAGAAACCGAAGGAGAAAAGGGCACAGAGAGCGGGAGACGGAGGGAGGGACAGAGAACAGGAGGGGGAGAGGTGGAGACTCTGGGAGAGGACAGAGGGAGGGATCTTTAAGGCTGGAGTCAGGGGGTCCCTGGGGGACTGGTCTCGGGCTGCGGACAGCAGCCCCGGGTGCCCCCGTCTCGGGAAGTCTCTCCCGGCCCCACTGCGCGACCCAGGCTCCCGGCGCCCAGAGTCAGGACGGGCTTGCGGGAAGCCCAGGGCTCGGCCGGCCTGCCCGGCCCCAGCACCCGCTCAGCACCACGGACAGCACCCACCCGCTGCGCGGCCGAGCACAGAGCACCCTCCTTCCACAACCCATTAATCTGCAGACACTCCCGGACCCGCCCCGGGAGCGGGCTCTGGGGACACCCTGAAAAATAAGACGTCTCTTGTCCTCGGGGACTCAAGTCCAGAGGGAGTGAGAGAGCAAAGTAAACAGTGACACCCTGACACCCAAGCCCCACCCTCCGAGGGGCCGCACTCACCACCAGCCCCAGCAGCGTCCCCGGAGGCAGAGGTCTGCAGGGGGCGCGGCCCCAGGCAGCAGACCAGTGTGGGGGCGTCCGGGCGGCAGCGGAGCCACAGCCCCCAACAGAGGGCCCCCCACTCCCTTCCCTCCTCCATCATCGAGAAAACGGGGGCAGAACCAGAGCTTCCCAGAAAACCTGCCAATTCCAGCGTCAGAGGCGCCCACCCCTCGGTGCTGGGGACAGGCCAGCACCACCGGCCCAAGGGCTGAGGGGAACCACAAGACGGGGACCCAGGGGCACCTCCGTCCCCTCTCCAGGGAGAGACCCTCCCAAAGGCCTGAGCTCCAGCCAGGCCCAGGTGGCTCAGGGGTTGAGCATCGACCTGTGAACCAGGAGGTCAGGGTCCGATTCCGGGTCAGGGCACAGGCCCGGGCTGAGGGCTCGATCCCCAGCAGGGGCCATGCAGGAGGCAGCTGGGCAGTGACTCTCATCACTGATGTTTCTCTCTCTCCCTCCCTTTCTCCTTCTGAAATCAAAAACATATTTAAAAAAACACCAAAAAAATCAAAGGCCTGAGCTCCAGCCCCCTGTGGGGCCTGCTCCTCCAGTCAGCCCTGAGACCTGAGCCTCCCAGGACCACCGGGCTCCAGGGAAGAACAGACCACAGTCCTTGGCCCGGGGTGGGGGGCATGGGACTTGGGCTGTGCAAACAGGCCTGTGGAGCACCCCCCCCACGCTCACCCCACCAGCACCCCAGAGCTGAAGCAACAAGAACTCAGCCACAGCCCTTGGCCGGCTGGGCGGAGACACAGGGCAGGGGCCCTAAGGCACCCATCAGGCAGGTGGGGAAACTGAGGCCCTGGAGGGTGGGGACTCAGCCCTCACTCCTGCCCTAGCTCACTCCCAAGTCGACTTCCTAGACCCCTGGGCTGTTGGGGGTTATCACCAGGGTCCATCTGAGGAGAAACGTGGGGGCCACGTTGTAGGAGCCATGTGCACAGCCTGGCCAAGCCCCCGAGCTCAGGGAGACCTTTGCAGCTGGACCGGGGCAGGAAGCAGCCCAGACCCACGGACGTGCCTCTCCCCAAGGCCCGGACCACGGCCCCACCTGGAGGTTCCTCCCCAGTGGTGACCTGGCCACAGAACCCAAGGCCCTGCCCCTGTGACCCTGTCAGCGAGCTCCACCCGAGGGCAGGTGACTGAGTCTGCCCCCAGGCCGAGGTGGCAGCAGGGGCACCTCTCAGTCCCTTGTGGACAGCAAGCAGAGACGTCCCCACGCACAGCCACCCGCAGCCACACGGTCCGCCTCGGGCGGGGCCAGGAAAGCCGCCCAGCCCCTCGCCGGGCGTGCACCCGGCGTGCGCACCCCCGGCCACCTACCCGGTGAGGACCACCACGAAGTCCATGACGTTCCAGCCGTTGCGCAGGTAGGACCCCTTGTGCAGCACGAAGCCCAGCGCAATGATCTTGATCCCCGCCTCGAAGCAGAAGATGCCGATGAAATAGGGCTCGGTGTCGTCCTGAGGGGAGCACAGCCCAGTCACTCTGCCCCGAGGGGCTGCCGAGAGGGCACACCCCCGCCCCAGTTCCCAGCCCACCTGGCCCCTGACACCACCCGCCCTCCGGCCCAGGGGCGGCGGGAAGGCAACCCTCCTGGGCTTTCCCGGCTATGACTCAGGTACCCTGTCACCGCCCTGTCCTGCAGCCCTACTACCAACCCCGATCTAAAGACACGGAGACACAGAGGCCAGGGGCCTGGGCTGGACACTCAGGGCTTGTCACAGGCCACCTGGGTCTGACCTGGGCTCTAACCACCGCCAGGGGCTGATGCCCCAACTCCCTGGAGCAGCCCAGGGCCCACTTGTTTGCTAAAACACATCTCCCGATACTCAGGACACGCAGGCCTTGGGGGCAAATCCGGCCGGGCCTCAGGGAGTCTCTGGAGGGCTAGGCATCCACCCGGCCACCAGGAAGGGCCTTCCTGGCAAAGGGAGCCGTGTGGGCGCAAGAAGGGAGCTGAGATAGCTGCACTGCCCCCTCCAGCCCCGGCTGACCTCGTCACTCAGCCTAGCACGAGGCCAGGCCCTGTGGTGCTGAGCAGGGTGGGGACGAACCCTGGGAGCTCTGCTGGGGAGTATACAATGGAGACAGGCAAGAGGGTGTGGTCAGTGACCAGGGGCGGGGGCAGAGAGAGCCTCAGTGCAGACCAGCCTGGGAGCCAGACCGGGGGGCAGACACACGGGGGGGTCAGCGCGGGAAATGGCCAGATACAGACCACAGGCGCCTACACTCCAGGCCACTGCTCAATGCAGACGGAGGGTTGTGGGGAAGGGTCGCCCCAGAACTGTGGAGCTGCTGTGCTCTGCCAGCGGGGGGCAGGGGGCAGTGCTGCAGGCCTGGGGACTGGCCACCTCGGGGCTGCAGGTGAGGGAGGGGCAGGTGGCCCCCAGGATTCTGCCTGTTCCCACTCAGGACAGCCACCTGTGCCTTCCTCTCCTGGCCCCAGAGGCCCTCCCCATCGAACCCGCAGCCCGGGCCTCCCCAGCCCACAGCTGCCGGGCAGCCCTGTGTGGAGTGTCCACTACAGCCCAGCATCCCCCTCCTGCCACCTGAGGCTGACTCATGACAGGATCCCCCCCAGGCTTCTGGTTCAGTGTGGCTGGATGGTCCCCCCTCCCCATTGGTCCCAGGGGAACCTCTGGGCCCCAGCAAACAGATCTTCCCAGAAGGCCTCTGGGTAGACAGAAGGGCAGGCCCAGAGCCGGGAAGGGCGGGGCCCCACCCTGACCCCTGGCCTCCCAGCTCGGTGCTTGACCACTTGGCTGAGTGCTGGC